TGCTATGGACTAAATGAAAAATGGTACAGATATTTATAGCAGTGTTAATGGTAACAGTCGTAATGTTAATGATTATAATAACAATAGGACTAGTAACAATAGTCGTTGCAGCAGAGGGTGTCGAGCAGGAACACGGGGGCAGCAGGTGACCCGCAGCCACAGATCCAGACTCCACAGCTCCAGAGCCAGAAAACCTGCAGGAAGTGATAGGAGAGAGGAGAGGGACGAGAAAGCACAAGACTACCAGAAAGGGGAAAAGTTGTGCAACATGCAATAATGGGATAAGGTTGCATACAGAGGGAGAGAAAGTAGAGGAGAGAGGAGCTCAGTGCATCATAGGAAATCCCCCGGCAGTCTAGGCCTTTAGCAGCATATATAAGGGATGGTTCAGGACTACCTGAGCCAGCCCTAACTATAAGCTTTATCAGAGAGGAAAGTCTTAAGCCTACTCTTAAATGTGGAGATGGTGTCTGCCTCCTGAACCCAAACTGGAACCTTGTTCCACAGGAGAGGAGCTTGATAGCTGAACGCTCTGGCTCCTAGTCTACTTTTGGAGACTCTAGGAACCACAAGTAACCCTGCATTCTGGGAGCGAAGTGCTCTGGTGGGGTAGTAAGGTACTATGAGCTCTTTAAGATAAGATGGTGCCTGACCATTAAGAGCTTTGCAGGTAAGAAGAATGATTTTAAATTCTATTCTGGATTTTACTGGAAGCCAATGCAAAGAAGCTAAAACAGGAGAAATGTGATCTCTTTTCCTGGTTCCTGTCAGAACACGTGCTGCAGCATTCTGGATCAGCTGAAGAGTCGAACGGACTTTTTCGAGCAGCCTGATAATAAGGAATTGCAGTAATCCAGCCTAGAAGTAACAAATTCATGGACTAGTTTTTCTGCATCATTTTTAGACAGGATGTTCCTGATTTTCGCAATATTACGTAGGTGGAAAAAGGCGGTCCTTGAAATTTGCTTAATGTGAGACTTAAACGACATGTCCTGATCAAAGATAACTCCAAGATTCCTCACAGTGGTGCTGGAGGCCAGGGCGATGCCATCCAGGGAAACTATATCTTTAGATAATGCGTCACGGAGGTGCTTAGGCCCCAGAGCAATAACTTCAGTTTTATTTAGTGAGTTTAACATTAGAAAATTACAGGTCATCCAGGTTTTAACATCCTGAAGGCACATTTGAAGTTTAGCTAACTGATGAGTTTCATCTGGCTTGATCGATAGATATAACTGAGTATCATCTGCATAACAATGAAAGCTTATGGAATGTTTCCTGATAATATTGCCTAAGGGAAGCATATATAAAGTGAAGAGGATTGGTCCGAGGACAGATCCTTGAGGAACTCCATGACTAACTTTGGCATGCATGGAGGACTCATCGTTAACATGTACAAACTGAAATCGATCTGATAAATAGGACTTAAACCAGCTTAGAGCGGTTCCTTTAATACCAATGAAATGTTCCAGTCTCTGCAATAGGATCTGATGGTCAATGGTATCAAATGCAGCACTAAGATCTAATAAAACCAGTACAGAGACAAGTCCTTTGTCTGATGCAATAAGGAGGTCGTTAGTAATTTTCACCAGTGCTGTCTCTGTGCTATGATGAGCTCTAAATCCTGACTGAAAATCCTCAAATAAACTATTGCTCTGTAGAAAGTCACACAGCTGTTTAGCAACTGCTTTCTCCAGAACCTTAGAGAGAAATGGAAGGTTAGATATAGGTCTATAGTTGGCTAAAACATCTGGATCAAGTTTGGGCTTTTTCAGAAGAGGTTTAATTACAGCTACTTTAAAGTACTGTGGTACATAGCCTGTTGATAGAGATAGATTGATCATATCTAGTATAGAGGTGCTGACTAAGGGTAAAACATCTTTAAGCAACCTAGTCGGGATGGGGTCTAAGAGGCAGGTTGATGGTTTAGATGAAGAAATTATTGAAGTTAGTTGGTAAAGATTGAGTGAAGCAAAACAGTCTAAACATGTATCTGGTTCTACAGCTGTTTCTAAGGTTCCTGAGTTAAGAGATAAGTCGGTGCCAATTTTGTCTAGAATTTTATCATTAAAGAAGCTCATGAAATCGTAACTACTGAGAGCTATGGGAATACTTGGCTCAATAGAGCTGTGACTCTTTGTCAGCCTGGCTACAGTGCTGAAAAGAAACTTGGTGTTGTTCCTATTTTCCTCTATTAATGACGAGTAGTATGCTGCTCTGGCATTACGGAGGGCCTTCCTATAAGTTTTAAGACTATCTTGCCAAATTAAACGAGAATTTTCCAGTTTGGTGGAACGCCAATTCCTCTCAAGTTTCCGCGATATTTGCTTTAATTTGCGAGTTTCAGTATAGTATACCATGGAGCTAACCGTCTTTGTTTTAGTATTTTCTTTTTTAGAGGGGCTACAGAGTCCAGTGTCATTCGCAGCAAGCCTGCAGCACTATCAACAAGATGATCGATTTGGGAGGGACTGAAATTAGCATAGGAGTCCTCCGTTACTTTGTGACTAGATAATGTATTTAGAGCTGATGGAATCGCATCCTTAAATTTAGCTACAGCACTATCAGACAGACATCTTGTATAGAAATTTTTACCCAATCGCGTGTAGTTCAGCAATACAAACTCAAAAGTTGTCAAACAGTGGTTGGATAAAGAGGGATTCTGTGGAAACACCACTAAATGTTCAATTTCAATACCATACACCAAAACAAGGTCGAGGGTGTGGTTAAAACAGTGAGTCGGTTCATGAACACTCTGAGAGAAGCCAATGGAATCTAACAGAGAGATAAACGCAGTACTAAAGCTGTCATTCTCAACGTCCACATGAATATTAAAATCCCCTACAATAATAACTTTTAAGGACTAAAGTTGACAAAAACTCAGCAAATTCAGATAAGAATTCAGAGTATGGGCCAGGTGCTCGGTACACTATAACGAAGAGAATTGGTTGCAGTGATTTCCAGCTTGGGTGTGAAAGACTAAGAACAAGGCTTTCAAATGAGTTATAGTTTGGTTTAGGTTTAGAGCTGATTAGTAGGCTAGAGTCGAAGATAGCTGCAACTCCACCTCCTCGGCCTGTGCCTCGAGGAATATGAGTATTAATATGACTGGGAGGGGTGGATTCATTTAGGCTAACATATTCTCCATCACCCAGCCAGGTTTCAGTAAGAACAAATAAATCAATATCATAATCTGATATTAGTTCATTTACTAGTACACCTTTAGAAGAGAGAGATCTGATGTTTAAGAGTCCACATTTAACTCTCCTATTCGTTTGCACTATTGCTCTTGTGGTTTTAATTTTTATGAGGTTTTTATGCACAGCTCCTCTTCTGTTTACCTTTTTAAATAATTTCGATGGTCGGGGGACAGACACCGTCACTATAGGAAAAATATAGACAGATATTTTGATTATGGGACAAAATGTGTAACATAACGGACATGGACCGGTGACCTGCTTCTATTTTTGTGTATATTTTGGAATTGCACCTTATTGATATTTTATATTATATGTTTGCAGTCTATATATTTGCATTTGTTCCTGCTTTGTATTGCAACTGCTGCACAACAATTTCTCTCCAGATAAATAAAGTTCATGCTCTTCTTGAAAACTACACAGTAAATCTCCCAAAATGTTAGTTACTTCACTGTGGTCAAGATTCAAATACTTAGTTTAAAGGTTCAGTGTGTAAGTTTTAGTGATATCTAGTGGTGAGGGTTGCAAATTGCAGTCAGCGGCTCACGGTGCATTCACATGCAAGTTGTGAAGTAGTTCTTCCAACTTCAGTGTGTTCATGTGCTCTGAAGTCTGAATGTGGAATCAACATGGATGCTACTACAAACGTGTTGGATTAGCATCATCAGAGCATATAAACAACACGCAGACATCTAGTTCACTCTACATGGACAGCAAACTAACCCTTATAACCATATTACAAATTACATGTTTGCAAAATATGTATAGACCAGGGCTGACCCCGAATAGTCAAAGATTCGATACTTCGATGGGAGGAGCCTGATTCAACTTTCAGTCTCACAGATCATACCATTTTGGTGATATGGGGGTCCTCAATGTCTGATTTGAAATAGAACTACCAGTTTTCTCCCAATAAGTTAATATGCTGCCTATTACAATATACATATATAATGCTGTAAATAAACATGTGACACATTTTATAAATGTTTTAAAGTGCGTGAATAAATCCAAAACTGTAATCCTAACCCTTAAGGAAGCACAGATGTGTGGGCATGATGTGTTTGTGTGTGTAGTGGCAGAGTAACACCTGCTGCATTGACGGAGCACCAGCTTCGTCGGTGTTGTGCCGAGCTGTCTGTACCTTGCAGGACGTTTGGATCATTTATCACCATTGATGAACCTCACAAAGAATATTATATCATTTTTAAACCGCAACGTGCAGTTAGTTGTCAGGCAGGCGTGCACGCAAAACTCGGCACAAGACCGGTGAATGGCAGGCGAGCAGAGAGAAAAGGGTCAACAATAAGCCTCAGTTCAGCTGTAAATGTAAGTAACAGTGAGTAAGAAATAGAGACTGCAGTCATATGATTCGACTGTCAGTTGACTATAGGCAAGACTTGACAATTCTGATTCGACTGTGTAAATCCTTAGTCGGGAACAGCTCTAGTATATACAATACATGATTTTCTACAAACTAGTAGTAAAAAGTTTTGTATACTTCATTATGTCCCATGTACATTTTATTTCTCTTTTTGCAATAAAGATATAAGGGAGGGAAAAAATGTAATTATTCTGGCACCACATGAACGAACCATCAGTCACCTCTCCAACACGCTCTATATGCTCTTGTTCCTGGTGTCTTCTAATAAATAATAATAATAATTGGTCTATTTGGGTAAATACAAAATTCATGCTGAATAATAAACACCGGGAGTTTGTTTAAAGCTAAAATCCAAAACTTTCTGCACACTGTCGCCCTCTGCAGCAGTGAGAGGAAACTGAAATGATGATCAAACTGCAGAGTTGTTGTGGAAGCTGGCTGTTTATTTCAATCAGCCACTGCAACACATTGAAAATGATACAACTAGCAAAGTGTGACAGAGCTGGGCTTCTGTTTGATTTCAGTGTTTAAACATAGACTGTACATGCTGTGAAATACTTAGCTTCCAGTTCTACATGTTTGTTTTGATCAGACGTTATTGGCTTTCATTACCAGCACAGGTGTGATGTGAAAGGACAAACAGTGAACTTATGTAATGTACCTGCACAGGTAACAATGACGCTTACATTCTACTCTAATCTTGTGCTACATGCTGCTGCTGACGTCTACCTGCTGCTGCTAATGAAAACTAAAAATGAAAATGTTTGCAGTTAAAGGTAAATGTATCCTCATCCTCCACAGCCCCCTGTTCTCCACTGACTACTTCAATGCTGTACTTCTCTCTGTTTCCATCCAGGTGAGTCCCTCTGGTTACAGTTTTGGTTCAAGGCTGAGGCGTTGCTACAATCAGGATCAGACTCCAACTGATGGGGAGAGAAAACAAGATGAGAGGCAAAGGCCTCATAAATGGAATTAGAACAATTTGTTTTTAAATTAAAATGAATGTATAAGTCAACAAATTATAACTCTTTGGTAGAGGAAGTTCTGTCACTGTGGCCCAACAGATTTCTCACCTCTAATGTCTCTATGGGTTCATTTGGTTCAGTGGTGGAGCTCAGAGTTTTCTTCTTCCTAAATTGAACCCCAAAAATAAATAAACAAATAAAAAGTCAATAACTCCAAAACTATGATAGTAAATATTCAAAGATCAGTGATGGAACTGATTCATTCTTATAGTTTCACCTCATCCACAGACAAACCAGAAGCAGAGGAATCAGCATCACAACCACCAGAGTCAACCTGATGATATTTATTATCATTGTTTTTTTATCTAGAAATGGAGATTGATAGTTATTAGATAAACTGTTCTGGACCTCATTAGGAAGTAGTAGGGTTTAATTCATGAATCACTTTGCCAGATGATGCTCTTCAGTTAATCACCCAGTTAGAAACGTACCTGCCACAGCAATCAGATGTAAGGTGGAGTTATGACGTCCTCTTCTGTTCTGGGCTTCACAGTAATAATTCCCACTGTGTTCAGCTCTGAAGTCAGTGATGGTGAAGTTCTGTCCTGATGCTTTTGGTGAGTCTTCATTCTCCTTGTACCAGGTGTATTTAGCTGCTGGGTTAGCATCACTGCTGCAGGTCAGAGTCACCCTGCCCTCCACTATCTCAGCAGAGGGACTCACTGACACAGAGGGAAGCTTTGGAGCATCTGGAGAAGAGATGAACATGAATTAGTTTCCGGTCAAACAAAGTTGTTGTTTTGAGTGCCTCCTACTGGGAGGGGCACCAAAGAGAAACATTAATAACACAGTACATGTCATAATTTATTTGGTTCCTTATCTACTAACGGTCCACTTGATAATGACATGGTAGGGGAGAAACTGTGTAGCATCTTACTATAACATTTAGTGAAAAATACAATATTAACACGTTTTACTACATCAGGATGGACAAGAGAGGCATTTGCATGGTGAATTACTCCTCTATTAAAGCTGTTAGCTTTGTAACAAGGAAAATATCAATGGATAAACTACAAAAGACAGCATGACAGATCTAAACCAAAAATATAGCAGGTCATAAAAAGCATCGACAAATGAGAACACAATATATTTTCACAAAACTTTATCATGAAATAGACCAGAGGTTCAGATTGTCAGGTTTTTCTAAATATAATACTTTGATTGCCATATTATGCATGTTGAAAGAGTCACTGGTCCCTGCAGCCACTCCTCCTCTCCACACAGTCTCAGTCAGGCTAACAGAGTGGGGATCTTTGTCCTGGTAGTTGTTTGTAGGTTTATTGCCAATGTTGTGTCTCGGGAAGAAACCTCCGGTGCATCCAGAGAGTACTCACAGCGTATTCACATAGCCTTATTCCAAAATGGATGAAAGTCAAAATTGTACAAACAATACCCCTTAATGACAAGGTGAAAGATGTTTTTTTTTAATCTTTGCAAAATGATTTAAAATGAAAAACAAAAAAAGCACATGTACATTAGCATTCACAGCTTGCTTAAGACTTTGTTGAAGTATCTTTGGCACCAATTACAGCCTCAAGTCTTTGAGTATGATGCTACAAACTATTTTTGGGCAGTTTCTCTCATTCCCCTCTGCAAGAATTCTCAAGCTCCAACAGGATGGATGGGGAGCGTCGGCGCAAAGTCCTGCCGCTGAAAAACATCCCCACAGCATGATGCTGCTACCACTATGCTTCATTGTATGGATGGTATTGGCCAGGTGATGAGGTGATGAGATGGTCAAAGTGACCAGCAGGTTCTTGGTCACCTCCCTGACAATGGCCCTTCTTCCGCCAGCTCTAGGAAGAATCCTGGTGGCTCCAAGCTGCCTTCTTTTACGGATGATGGAGGCTACTGCGCTCATTGGGACCTTTAACGCTGCAGAAAAGTTTCTGAATCCTTCCCCAGATCGGTGGTCTACAGACAAATCCTTGGACTTCATGGCTTGGTTTATGCTCTGACACTGTTAACTGTGGGATTGTTGAGTCCAATCAAGTTATAGAAACATCTCAAGGATGATCAGTGGAAAGAGGATATACCTGAGCTCAATTTTGAGTGTCATGCCAAAGGCTGTGAATACTTATGTACATGTGCAAAAAATATTTCAAACAAATTTCTTTCACGTTGTCATTTGGGGTATTGTTTGTAGAATTTTCAGAAAAAAAATAATTTTGGAAAACGCTGTAACATAACAAAATGTGGAAAAAGTGAAGTGCTGTGAATTCTTTGTGATTTTTTAAAATTTATTTATTTTTGTTTAAATTTTGTATGTGTATGTGTGTATGTAGCCTACGTGTACATCTTTAGCTGTAATATGTCTTTTATGTGTATTTTTGTCTGTAGTGGCAGCTACTACTATGCACTACACACTTTGAGTACATGACAAATTGCCCCTAGGAGACAATAGAGTATATTCTGTTCTATTCTATTCTTTCCACATGCACTGTATTCATTAGTGAGTCCCATTTGAGTCCCATGTGAAACCAAGTCAATGATGAATTATTTTTATTTTTTTTTTTGTTGTTGTTGTTTAGGTATGAGGACGTGTTGGTTACTACAGTTTTATGGGCTGATGTAAAAGCTGTCAAACAAACTTAGGCCAAACGACCGCACAGAGGCCAGGAACCCAACGATGGATCATTTTTTCCCTTGATCGAGATCAAATCAATCAAACTGCAGTGAAATGACCCTTAGAAGATGAATCAAAATGTTTATGTTGTTATCCAGCAGCAGCTTGTATATTAAAAAGAATCTTGTTGGCCTCACAGATGTCTACTTTCTGTCTGGATAATAAAATGTTAGCTCGGAGCAAAGCCAATGTGTCACACTGTGTGCCTGTCTGTCTGTTTAGTTAATTGTCAGTTTTGTTTTTTTAGTCTGTTCTGTATCTGTTATTTTGTCTATGTTTTGGGTTTCAGCTTTGTCTGTTGTATTGGGTTCAGTATGCCCGGTGTTAGTTAATTAGTTAGTTAGATAGTTGTTTTCCACTGCCTGTTTTATGTCAGTTTGTTCTGTGATTCTAGTTTTAGTCTGTTTCCATGTTTTATCTGGGTTTGTTCTGTCTGATTGTGTTTGTGATTGTTTTGTGTATTTCTTATTCTGTGCTGTTCATTTGTCTTATCTTGTTATGGTCTGTTGTGCCTTGTAAATGTGTTTCTTTTGTGTGCATCTGTTTGGGTTTTCTCTGTGGGTTTGTTAGTTGTTCAGTGAGATTTAGTCTGCTTGGTTTCTGTCTGTTGGCCGTTCTCATTTCTCAAATTTGTGCCTCCTCGATCCTTCGACTCCTCGTGGCGCAACATAGGGTGCTTCTCAAGTCTCTTAATTGCATCCACTTGGGTCTTTCCTTGGAGCCAAGCCAGGAGAGAAGGAACGAGGAAATATGTTTTTTGAGACATGAGACGTCCTTTCCTCCGGAGCGTCATGTAAAGCGACGTCTGTTTTTGATGACGGCGGCAGCTGATCACAGGATCACTGGATCAGCTGTCAGTCCACTCTAACAGCTGTAGAGACTTTTGATGGAGTTTGTGTCTATATACATGTGCACGGTGTTGGTACTAATAAAGTCTCACAGTTATCAGTGCAGAGCAGCATGAGTCTCTGTTAACTGTTTAACAAACACCTGCACATGAAAAAGTATAGGTTACTGATGTCCTGCTCAGAAGCACGGGATCTTTTCTACTGGCACAATGCTGAAATTATCTGCATTTATCTTTATTGCTTCTGATAGTGAATTTGTTATTGAATAACCAAGAATATGATCATGGTGTCTTGGGATTTATTAGCCCAAATGTTTCAAGGAAACTGAAATGATGTACATTGAATCAAACCCGATGCTTAGTTTTTGGCTTTACGTTTATTTCCTCTTCTGATTTCCTTTAACACTACTGCATGTTATTTTCGAGTCACTTCACTCATCGCCAATCGATCGCTGTGTTCCATTATATGAATCCAACATTTTTTTTAGGGCAGCAGCTTTCATTCATACTTTCATCAGCTGAATTTACTTGCAGAGCTGCTGGCTGCATTCATCAGATGCTTTGCTCATTAGATACTTTGGTGCAGTTTAGTGACTTTTCCGACTCTTTAGTGTACTATATTTTATTATCATCTGTTTGGATTAAACACAGGAATGACCAGCCTCACATGTGACTGATTAGAAATGACGATACATTATGTAAAACATGTTTCTTGCAGACAGACTCTCTGATTCTCTCTGACTTTAAAATAAAGTTGTGCGTGGGACTTTTGTTGTTCAGACCTACAACGAACAAGACAGTGAATCATAAAACAACTCAAATATAAGACTTTGAAGCGATACACTTGAGTTTAATGTTATGTGAGATTTCAGATCAGTCCAATCAGCTGCAGCGTCCAATAAATATAACGGCTACCCGAAAAGGCGGCGTGTCGGTCATTAAAAGACTTCCACGAAGGAAGTCTTTTCTGATAGACAATACAAAGGTTGTTTTTACTGAATCATATTCATCTTATATGAAAATCTTCAGCCAAAACAAAATAGCCTACAGTAAACAACAGAATAATAGAACATGATCCACAAGGGGATAACGTAACAAGCAACAAAGGCTTTAAATAAAAATCTTTATACATTTTAACTGTTAAATACTTCAGACTATATAATACTTCAATATAATGTATGATTTATATTGAAATGTTGTATTTGTGAATGTAATATTTTTCATATAGGCTAAGAAAAAGGTTCCAGTTCAAGCGAGGATCAAGGAGCGAGGAAACGACAAATAAGAGACTTGAGAACCATCCAGTGTTTCTATCTGTCCATCACCCTGCCTGCCTGTGTCTGTCTGCTGTCATTATTAGGATCACCTGTCTGTGCTCCCAACCTCCTCACTGTGCTTAAATGTGTTTCACTTCTGTTCAGCTCTTGCTGGTTCGTTGTATGTTCAACCCCTGCTGTGTGTCTTGCTTGTCTGTCTGCTTTACTGCCACATTTGTTGGATTTACCCTTTGTTCTCTTACACCGTGGATTATTCTTTGTTTTGGACTTTTTGCTGCTCTGCAGACAACCTCTGTTTATGGATTACCTTGTTATATTTATGGGACTCTGCTGTAAGTTTAGCTTCTTCCCTTTTTGTTAATAAATTCTCAAAGAGACTGTATCTGTCTCGTCTGCTTGTCCTCCATTTGGGTCCTAAAACCTGCTCCTGCCTGCACACATGACAAACCCTGACACAATGTTTAAATCCAATATTTTTTCAGGTTATGCCACTCTGCTCTGCTATTCTCCTTTGCTGAAAGCCCCCGCCCACCACCGGGCAATCATTTTACCTTTCT